CAAGACCCAACACTCTGGATGAGCTTAAGGCCGCTATCGAAGCATCCTGGGCCTCCATAACACCTCAGCAGTGCCACAGGCTGATTGCCTCCATGCCACGACGCATTGAAGCAGTCATTCATGCAAAAGGATTCCCGACCAAGTATTGAGTGCATAACTGAACATGATTATTTGAAGGTTGGCGTTTTTTGTATTAAAAACACTTGTCTTTCATTGGTGGGATGAAATATGCTAATTTTTTGGGACAGGCATTTTGGGTTTTCATGAGCTGTATGCCATAATCATCACTATTAAAACAATTAAATATCTGAAATATTTCAGTTGGTGTGCAATGAATATGAAATATATGAAAGTTTCATTTTTATCATTACATTATGGAAAATAATGACCTTTATCACAATATGCTATTTTTTTGAGAAGGACCTGTAGTGTTTCATCTGACTTTACTGTTGAATAATCTGCATAAAATGTACACCGCATTTTAACTAAATATTTTTAATATATTGAATATTCAGTGTAATAAACATTTTCCTTGTGTTTTTTTCTATTTTATTGGTGTTTTCTTATTGAAACTTCAGCTTGTCTACATTTTCTATCACAGTTTTTAAACAGAGTCCCATTGATTTGCCTTAAGTGTCATAATTAATGTAGATCTGCTTGTACTCAACCCATCATAACAAATGTGGTATCATTTTTATCTTTAATTGATTATCCAAGTTTCATAACTAAAAAAAGCCTTCAGTAAAAATCATTCCAAGTGCCTGCCTGCTATTTCACTTTACATTAATTAACTGTCGTGGGAACTTCAGGCCAACTTTAATATACTCTTTTTTTTAAAATTAATATTATTATAAAAGGCGCAGCTACTTTTGGTGCCATTGGAAAGATCTTTCCAATCCCTTATCCAATGATGAAGTTAAACACAAAGCAGTCCTCATATAAATAATGTTATTAACTTACGTTTTACGAATATGAATGTTTCTGACTTCTGTTGTGACTTGACACTATATAAATAAACTGAATTGAATTGATAAATCTTTGATGTGAATGCTGTAGCCACATATTCATACTAAGCTTGAGACAACCCTTAAAGACAGACACGAGCATGAAATAGCACAGAGAAAATACAAAATGGCAACCTTTAAAGGAACATTTAAAAAGTGGCACAAGTACTCAGATGAACGTGAATAAACTGAGACAAAAGTGAAAGATCCCAGTGTGTGAGAAAGATCATCATAATGGCCAGTCCTGCCAGGGTTTCATTTTTAGTTAAACAAAGTTTGACTAGTCTGCAAACAGGCCCAGGCTGGCTGAAAATAAAGAGGTAGGCAGCCAAACCCAGCCCTAAATAAAGCACAGCTCCATCTGCAAAGAATGCAAATGGTTCAAATTAAGTTAATTTTAAACAGCTGATCAGATGTTTCACCTCATCATAAAAGCTCACCTGGCCTGACTAAAACTGTGTGCGAGAGCCAGAGATGTAAAGGAATGTAACACAAGGACGTCACACATGATAGAGTCCAGCCTGGGAGGTTTCACCCCACAGATAAACAAAAACAAGTCTTTTAGTAATAATGTGTCAGAGAGTGCAGCTACCAGACACCGCTCCTCAACATGTGAAGCTAGCTTGATGTTTCTGTTGTCTGGAAAGGTTTCGGTGAAGCAGCAGTTAAACACTAAGCGGACTGACTAAACTGAGCCCAGAGGGTTAATACCGTAAAAAAACCAACTTTTCACTGTTTGCCAACTAAAGGAAAACACACCTCGGTCTTTTTTTTAATCTCCATAACAATTGAGCGCGCGAGCGACCGCTTCGTGATTCTACTCACCTCCGCATCTTTCGCCAACTTCCGGTTCTTAATTTGTCGAAGCAAAAAGCCGACGCGGCCTTTACGAGCGAGCTCTTCCCACGGAAACAGCGCTTGATGGGGTTTTATTTGGTGGAAGGAATCGTTGAGAAGCAGGAACTTTCCTTTAAGAAAGATGGGGCGGGTCAGAGGGAGAAAAAACCAGGAAGGAGGGGGCTTCGAGCGCGCGCTCTACTTCCAGTTTCATTAACCCTTTCAGTGCCGGCTGGTTGACAGGCAGAGGGCAGACATTCCACACATTTCACCCCTGCTTTCAAGCTGCAGGACAAATGTCTCCGTGCATGAGGAAAAAGAGCAGCATAGGTAGAAACTAATTACACTGCGCAGATTACACGGGACATATTAAAGGTCCAACAAGTTTCAGCCAGGTCACCCGGACGGTTTCTTTATTTTGTTGTTGAGACGTTTCACCCTTCATCCAAAGGACTTCATCAGTCCGAGGAGCCACAACAAACTCAATCCCACAAGCAGCACCTTCACATAATGGGCTAACCAGTTTGCGGGTGATAAGATTCAATTCAATTTCAATTCGGTTTATTTATATAGCGCCAAGTCACAACAGAAGTCGTCTCAGGGCACCGAACAGAAATATTCATATATATTAAAAAAAAATGAGTTAACAATATTTATCTGAGGAGCAGACTGCTTTGAATTTAACTTCATCGCAGAACTCTCATCTTGAGCAAGCACGAAGGTGACAGTGGAAAGGAAAAACTCCCTCATGAGGAAGAACCCTTTAGCATGGTTTCTAGAGCCCACTCTCTCCCCTGTCGACTCCTCTGAGGCAGCCATAGCCAAAGTGCTTCAAAACATCAAAGTTCATGCTCATTGATTCAGGTAAAAAATCCAGATCATCCTTTGTATGAAGGACAAAATGTCTCAACCACAAAAAAGAAACCATCCAGATGACCTAACTGAACTTTGTTGGATTTTCTACCTGGATTATTTAGCATGAACTTTTATGTTTTGAACCACTTTGGCTATGGCTTCCTCAGAAAAGTGGACGGGGGAGAAGGCAGACCCCAGAAATCATCTAATCACCAGCAAACTGGTTGGCCCACTGTGATGTGCTGCTTGTGGGACTGAGTTAGTTGTGGCTCCTTGGACTGATGAAGTCCTTTGGATGAAAGACGAAACATCTAAAAAAAAAAAAAAAAGACACCATCCAGATGACCTAACTTTGTTGGATTTTTTTTTTACCCAGATTATTGAGCAACAACTTTGACGCTTAATAGGTCATGATTAATGATTCCAAAACTGAAGAAAAATTAAGAGACTTGATTGTTTGTAAAGGCCTAGGACGTATAAACAGCTGCTTCACCAGAAAGGCACATTTTATTAGGTTAAAAGACCGCCTGCAATCCACACTTGTTCAAATTATTTAATTCACTTGTCGTTTAAGCTGGCTTTGACTGTCAAATAGATTAATTGTGCTTATAACAGGATGCATTCAAACATAAATAAATTTTGCTTTCCAAGTCAAAACGTGGTTAAATTATAGTTAAAAATCAGGGTAAAATGTTTTGTTTGTTTTTATTAAACATTTGTTTTGGCTGCAGAAAGGAGTTTATAAATAGAAAAATCTAAATTTCTGTGCTGACATTTTTTAATTATTTGTTAACCGAATTGGTAAAGTTATAACAAGTAGAAATACAATAACTAAAATCATAAATGTTCTAAACATTAGCTAAAAGCTAAAATTAGCGAAGTCATCATGACTAAACCCTATATATTTGGAAAAAAAATCGTACCTAAAAAAAGTTATTTGTTGAGAACTTGTTGCTAATAGCTAAAATACCAAAACTGCTTAAATTAGCTAAACAGTAGCCAAAATCATAAACATAAAATAAGAAGACAAAACTAGAGAAACTATGTTGAACTGGAGTTGAGAAAATGATGTTTTTGAAGAAAATGAAGAGGTACTGGGATTTTTGTATACAATGTGAAATAATTATAAAAAATGTGAAAGTTATATTAACTATGTTAAAGGACAGAACACTATTCCATAGAGTTGAACATTTTTTGAAAAACAGTTTGAAGGTTTAAACAGCACAGCGGTTATTTTAATCACCTGCATTTATCCATTCCAGTCCCGTTTGGGATCACAGATCTCTTTTTTCAATGCCGTCCTGAGCCTGAAGGCAGCCTAACCACATGCTTTTAGACAAAATACAAAGTATGCAGTTGTTTTTACTGCACAAAATGTGTGGGAAAAAACAAAACAACTTTAAACTGATAAACAGAAGTGTGAATGCACTCAGAGTTACTTGCAGGTTATTAAACATAATTAATTAAACAGATTTAAACTATTAAACAGAATGACGGTGACGAGTTAAATGGATTTTACAGATTGTTTTGGGGATGAACATTTTCTGTTTATGTGTCTAGAGATGTAGTTTTCCATTATGTAGAATTCAGTATTCCTGTAAAAATAGACAGTGAATGTTTTAGGCTAATATGACTTGTGGAATTACTTTATTTTCACATTTCACTGTGTTTTATGAAGGCAAAACTCATATCTCAGAGTGGATGGACCCTATTTTAGGGAACAGGATAAGCACAAAAGCCCCAATACTACATTAAATATATATTTTTTTATTTAGCAGCTTTAGTCAGTAATTTGACTGAAATGAATGCTGATGTATTTTCATCACTGAAAGTCAAAGTTTTGGCTGATACAAATTGCTGATACCCTGATTTGTCAAGGGGTGATGACAGTTTGTTGAACCATCAGACAGCATCTTCCACTCTGCTGCTGTCCATTCTCACCATGTTGGATAGTTTAAATCTTCAAATCTTTAAATCATAAATCTTTTCCAGCCCTGCCTGAGCTCCACTATCAAATGTCCCAGGAAGTTTATGACTCAGTCTGTTACATAAAACAAGTAACAACCAACAAATTGAATTAATGAGCGTCAGTGGTGCAGACAACTTCTCCAAACTGTAAACAATTATTTTATCATACTCTGTCAGTCGCTTTTACTTCCTCTTTGTAAATGTACACACTACAGTCACCTTTAGGACAGGTCCAGTCATGCGACATACTAGACGATCTTTCATTATGTATTTTCATCATGTGTTTATGTGCTTGTACAGAAAGTATGTAATTTGTATTCGTTTCAAATGGTTTCTTAATATGTGCTGCACGTGTAATCGTCTTTATCTGCCTGTCTGAAGGTTTTTATTACAATGACCAAAAGAAATACAGTCCAAGCCCACTTTTTCATTGTTCCTTTTCAGTAGAGCGGCTTTTATGTTTTGGGCTCTGGGGAAGCTTTCTTCCTCCTAAACTTTTTGTCTGGTTCCCTTGTCTCACCACATACACACACAGAGAGCAGGGGACAGTAAACAGGGAACTGATGTGAGCAAGCGCTGATTGCATCTCGATGTCTGGATTGATCCTACATCACTGCCAGTCTGTAATCAAATTTGCTGGCAGTCACAAAGACAATACACTGCGATCTAAACATGATTTACACCCTGAAGGAACTTTATGTGAGGCAGGTTGCCTTAAGAACACATACAATTGTGTCATGCTATATCAAACCCAGAGGAAACCAAATAAAATAATGACTGTTACGGTACAATTTCTGTTTTTCTTAAAATGTCTTCAACTTCCGATATTGTGTAGCTGCTGATTTCTCCATTGAAATTGTTCCAGTAAGAACTGCCTCCTTCCTTTGTTATATTACTAATATCCCAAAGAATCCTCACCCAGTCATAGGTGGAGACAGGTTGTACGTGAGGCTGAACACCCACAGCCGTTGCTGTCATCTTTATGGCATAAAGTCCAGGTCACTGTGACTAAGAGGAATAAATCACACCACGCTAAACTGCTAATATGTTTATCTGTTCACTTTTCCAACCAAGATAAAAGCTAAAAACGATAGTAGACATGATAAATTTGGTTTATTCTGAGTCCTTATTTGCATTATAATGAAGGCAACGAACCACATTCGTATTCTAAAGTAAATTAAAAAAAATAGTGTGTTGTTCTTCTCGTTTTAGCACAAACTTTCTGCCAAATGTTTCATCGTTTCCCAAGTGAAAGCAATCAGTTTTCTTGTCCTGATGCACGCTCAAGGATCCAGATGAATCAAACAAGGTTGAATCAGATCCTCTGGACACATTCTTCTTTGTTGAAATGTTTCATCTTTTATCCAAACTTCTTCAGTCTGAGGAGCTGCAACAAACTTAGTCTTATAAATAGCACCTTCTCATAGTGGATCAACCAGTTTGCTGCTGACAGCTAAAACCAGTTGTGCACATGCAAAGGTAGGATCATCAGCCAAACGAACGATCGTTAGTGCCCAGATGGCCACTTGCTATTCACAGGGGGCTGAGTGATACTAGCAATAACAGCATTGTAAGAAGGTGACGTGAGACATGAAGGCCCTGTTTAACAATGGATGAGTTCTCTTCACAAAGATGGCTGCCTTTACTCGTCTCTTGAACATTTATCATATATTCATTCCTGAACGAGTGACCGCTGGACTGGAGATGAATGAATATAAACCACAGAGTCCTGGCCTGATGATGTTGCTCTTCTGTGCTGGGCCATCCTTTTGGCCAGTGGCGGTTTAGTTTCCCCGATGTAAGACTGATCACAGCCCTCCACTGAACAGCTTACACAATATTACCCTGTTTGTACCAGGAGACCAGACCTTTGAGACGAAGCAGTCTTTGCCGTAATGTATTTTGGGTTTGAAAACTACTGAGATGTCATGTTTAGAAATTAAACATCTCAGTTTCTCTGAATCTTCTGCAATATACAGAATGACCACTGGTCTGGGTCGGGGCTCCTCCTTTTCACCTGCTGGCTGACTGGAGTCCTGACTGGAGTTGCTTCTCTGCTTTCAGGAAGGCCCAGGATATCCACATTTCTCCAGAGCCTGTCTTGTGTGGGATTTCTACTTTTCCCTCACATCACAAGTAAGTAAGTGGAAAGCAAGTGTGTGGGTGGGTTTGCAGTAAACATCTGATGTATATTGCAAACCCACCCACACAGACCAGTACAGTACTTGTGGTTTGATTCCAATCACCCACTAGGAGT